CTGAAAAATGTGGTCAGCATGGTCACAGCTGAATGTTTACTAGGACTAGAAAGGTGTTTTTATTTTGCTGTTCTGTCTCGCTGGGGAGGCGTTCTTCAGGAGAGCTTGATGATGAATTGTGAGCTGCTGAGGCATGGCTCTGTGATGATCAGGTCACTGTTGGCCCTTAGAAGCCCAGGGTAAATTGGTGGTCCTGCAACTTGGGGCAGCAGTTGTGTTGCTTAAAAGGCTCAGTTTAGGCCATGCTGGATGCATTTCTGCAGCTGGTCTCCCAGTTGTGTGGGCGCATCTACAACATGTGAATGTATCACAGACAGAGGGTTAATCTTTAATTCTGTTAGTACTCTCGTGCCCACCTGATTTCCAGTGATTTGAATCACTAATGGAAGCCTTTAACTGTAGAACTTTGTGTCTGAATTGACTGATGGATTATTAGCTGTAAGTTCCCATTGGAGTTAGCATGATTTCTCAGGTGCTGCAACTTCCGCTACATGGTGGTGTAGTCATTTTGGGGATCTGTAATGTTGTGGTGTGGCAGCTCTCGCTAGAGGGATGCCAAATGAGGAGGAAGTAACTTGAAAGGAGATAATTAATGTTAATGAAGATACAAGACACTGGCAGACATTGACAGAATTGGGAATCACAACCCAGGCTCTGAGCACCCTTCTTGCATCTCATCTCTCAGAGATCTCAGGTGTATCAGCTGTAATTATTGCTTATATAAATTAAAACCCAAACCAAAACAACAAAACCCACACAACTGTTGAGTAACACAATTTATTAGAACAGCATTTTATTTTAAAGACTCTTTGATATACTCTCATTGTCCTAAATCCCTATGCATGTATTATTATTTACTATTAATCACCATTATGTCTCAAAAATGGAAAATATTGGGTTTTTTTCTAGGGCAGAAATCTAACAACAGGAGAGCTTGGATTCTTCCCAAGTGATGCAGTAAAGCCCAGCCCATGTGTAAGTACAATTGTTTAATTCTGTTTGTCATCTTACAGAAAAACTGCCTAGTTCATACCATTGCTTTATTAATCTTACCTTACGAAAATCATATTGTTTCTAGTTCCTTTGTGGTTTTGTGGTATGTTCAATATTGCATAAAATATAGCATTATAATGCTCTCGGTTATCGGATGTAGATAGGACATGTCAAGAAAACATGTTTGAGAGGCAGATTTAACTTTTGGGAATATTAATAAATTGAACTGTCTAAAGAGTTTCCAGAGTATGGAACAAACACTTTTTATGTGAAAGTGCACTTTCTTCCTTCCACAGCATTAAGGTGAGAATGCTGTGGTTCTAATCTATTCCCCAGTCACTTTGGGTTAGAGAGAGGGATTACACCATAAGTAGTGAATTTAAAAATGCGTAAAACTAATATAAAATTTCAAATTCAGACTGCTCAATAAATTTTCTCCTTTCTGTAGGTTCTTACTTGCCTTTATTTCACACAAGGATGTTCTCAATCTAGAAAAGTTCAGGATAGCAATAAGAAAAATTATTTTATAATATGTACTCAAGAGTTTTGTATACAGATGTGATGATACATTAATATACTTTATGCTTGCTCCTTCATTCTCTGCCTTCTGTAACATTGTCCATCAGATTACTATATGTCCCTTTGTTGAGATTAATTGATATAAACCCGTAAAACCAGTGACGAATCATATCAAAGCTTTAAGACAGCTTTAACTTCTTTTAACTGGATTCACAACAGTTTGACTTAATAGAATTGCTTTAATTACAGCAATCAAGATATGCCGCTTAAGTAGTTTGTAAGTAGGTGGAATCAGATGTTAGTGTCTGCATTTTGATATGCTTTTAAGGCTTATATTGTGCCTAGTTTCTAAAACAAATACTCATGTGCTTCTAAAGAGTATAAATACATTAGTATACCTTGAGACATCTTTAGTACCCTGTATTTTCAGAATTTTGTTTGAAGAGGGATGTACAGAGTATTTGTAGGTACAAGGTATGTTAGATTGGGTGAGAGAACAGATCTGGAATCAAGATGAAAATGTTATGCGAACTTAGCTTTCTTCCACTATTGTAAGGGACAACAAAAAATGTTTTTACAAATATGTTAACAGTAAAAAGAATCCCAAGGATAATATCTATCCCTTAACGGATACAGAAGGGAACGTTGCCACCAGAGATGAGGAAAAGGCTGAGGTACTTAATGCCTTCTTTGCCTCAGTCTTTAATAGGGAGACCAGTTATCCTCAGGGTACTCCGCCCTCTGAGCTGGACGGTAAGGATGAAGAGCAGAATATACCCCCCTTAATCCAGGAAGAAATAGTTAGTGACCTGCTACGCCATCTGGATACTCACAGATCTATGGGACCTGATGGGATCCATCCAGGAGTACTGAGGGAAATGGCGGAGGTCCTTGCCAAGCCACTCTCTATCATCTATCAGCGATCCTGGTCAACAGGGGAGGTCCCAGAGGACTGGAGGCTTGCCAATGTTGACTTCCATTTACAAGAAGGCTCGGAGGGAGGATCCGGGGAACTACGGACCTGTCAGCCTGACCTCGGTACTAGGGAAGATTATGGAACAGCGTGTCTTGAGAGCACTCACATGGCAAGTCCAGGACAAGCAGGGGTTCAGGCCCAGTCAGCATGGGTTTAGGAAAGGCAGGTCCTGCTTGACCAACCTGATCTCCTTCTATGACCAGGTGACCTGCCTAGTGGATGAGGGAAAGGCTGTGGATGTTACCTTCCTGGACTTCAGCAAGGCCTTTGACACTCTCTCTCATGGCATACTCCTTGAGAAGCTGGCGTCTCATGGCTTGGACAAGTGTACTCTTTGCTGGGTGGAAAACTGGCTGGATGGCCGAGCCCAGAGGGTTGTGGTGAATGGGGTGAAATCCAGTTGGCGGCGGGTCACAAGTGGTGTTCCCCAGGGCTCGGTGTTGGGCCCCGTTCTGTTTAATATCTTCATCAATGATTTGGATGAGGGGATTGAGTGCACCCTCAGCAAGTTTACAGATGACACC